AGAGCAGCGAGGTCAGTGCCAGCCTGGGGATGCCCCTGCAGCCGGCCCTTCCTCCCGTCTCCAGGTGTCGGCCCCTCAGGTGGTCCTTCGCCACCTGTTCTTCCCCGCCGCCTGGGGCTGCTCACCACTCGGTGGCACCTGTTCGGCCCCATCCCCACTTCCTCTCTGAGCGACCTGGAGCAAGCACCCTGACTTCTGCTCCCTCACAGATAAAACCCAGGTACGGATAAGGCCCCCCAGCAAGGCGGGGAGGGTCCCCTGACAAGGCCCATGTGCCCGGCAGCCCAAGGCCACAGCCCCAGCACACGGCCCCTGTCTGTGCCATAAACACGCGCTGGGGGACCTGACCAGCCACGTTCTCTGCGCACAAGGGGAGAGCTGCACCCTGAAGGCTCACGCCCCGGGCAGAGATGGGCTCAACAGAAAGACAGAGACACCTGAGCAAAGGTGGTTTGTTGGGCAAATTAAAGATGGTGGCCCTGCCAGTCAGCGCAGCTCAGTGGTTGAGCATCGACTTATGAACCAGGAGGTCACAGTTCGATTCCCAGTCAGGACACAAACTCGGGTTGGGGGCACGATCCCCAGTGCAGGAAGCAGCGATCAATGATTCTCTCTCTCTCATCATGGATGTTTCTATCCCTCTCTCCCTCTCCTTTCCTCTCTAAAATCAATACAAATATATTTTTAAAAAACATACACACACGAAAAGATGGGCGGCCCTGAAACTCAGGACCGAGGGTGTGTGGGGCTTGAGAACAGGCAGTGACCTAGGTGGGGAGGAGGCTGACCCACCGCTCCGGCACCTGGCGCGGGTCTTTAAGAAGCCATCCCAGTGCCTTTCTGAGCCAGGCACCCGTGCCGTTCCTCCAACAGCAGGGATGCCCCTCCTGATAATCCCCTCTGTCCTCCGTGAGACGGCCCGGCTGGGCGCACGGACACGCCCCTCTGCCCTTGGGGCCCAGGCAGTGTAAGGCACGGGGTGGAGTACGGGCAAGCCCAGGGCTCAGCAGTGTGCCGGCCCAGCAGGCTCAAGAACAGGACTGCTACCACCCAACCCACCCCGTGGGGGCCAAATCTCGGATCGGCGGAACCTTATGACAATGCCACCTCCCAGACTCAAAGGTGGCTGAGCCTTAGCGGTTCACACGGCTCAATGCAAGGGCACCGCACTTCACAGTTTATAAGGCACCCTCAGAGACATGACCGTGTTTGACCCTCAACGAGACCCGAAGATTCTGCATTTCACTGGGGTGACCGGCACTCCGTGCAGAGCCGAGGCCATACTCAGACGCCCGGATTCCCACCAAATCATGTCCCTCGGGTTAGCAAGGCGGGGAGAAGGAAAGGCCCCTCTTGGTGCAGTCAACCAGGTTGTTCCCGCGCTACAGGCACTCTCAGAGGTGACGAACCACCTTTCCCAGCACCTTCCTGGTCCTGACGTTGGTCCCAGGGGAAGCCAGAACCCCTCCCTCCTTCCCAGAGGGGCTGGAGTGCCTAAATGAAGGCCTGGCCCTAACTGGTTTGGCTCACTGGATAAAGCGTCGGCCTGTGGACTGAAGGGTCCCAGGTTCAATTCCGGTCAGAGGCATGTACCTGGGTTGCGGGCACATCCCCAGTAGGGGGTGTGCAGGAGGCAGCTGATCGATGTTTCTCTCTCATTTGATGTTTCTAACTCTCTATCCCTCTCCCTTCCTCTCTGTAAAAAACCAATAAAATATATTTTAAAAAATAATAATAAATAAATGGAGGTCTGGGGCCAAGGGGAAGGGTGCTCTGGGCAGCAGGCACAGCAAAGGCAGAGAGCCGGGTGCTCAGAGGGTGGGATGGAAGGAGCAAACAACCCGCCTCTATGGGAACAGGAGGTCACGGGTGGGAAAGACCCTCCTAGTCTGTCTCTGATGACAAGCCGGCAGCCCAAGGCATCAGCCCAGCTCAACAGGGGCGCTCTACGCACCACCCCAGGGCACACGAACGTGCACGGGCAGAGGCACAGGGCCTTACTCAGAGGAACCCAGGCAGGGAAGGGGCAGCCGTCACCCAATCCAGGGAGAGTATGAGGGGCACGCGACCCGGCGGGGCTGGGCAGGTGGGACCTTCCTCTGGGCAGCCTGGGGCTCTGCCAGGACTTGGACTCTAGAAGCCCAGAACTTGACTCCGAAGCGAGGGGAGACATCTGAGCCCCGGGGCCACCTGGGGCCAGGCTGGGGCTGCCTGAGCACGGGGGACCCCGGGCAGGCTGGGGAGACAGGGCCAGTGCTGGGGTGGCAGCAGCGAGCGAGCTGGACCAGAAAGGAAAGGGCTATTGGGTCCCATCCCACAGCCCAGGACAGTCTTCTCTTTCCAAGAACAGGGCAAGCTCTCCTCTCCGCTTTTATTCGACGTAAACGTTGGTCGTCAGGCTCTGACATAAAGAGCATGTGCCGTGTGGTTCCATTTCTAAAACGTTCCGGAACAGGCTAATCTGGTGCTAGAAGCCAGGACAGCGGCTGTGCTGCGGGGCGGGGAGGGGTTCTGGGTAGCGGGGAGGCTCTGTATCGGGTTGGGCGGTGGTTGCACAGGTTCACACAACTGTCAAAGCAAACCAGACGCACACTTAGAACCTGCACGCGTTACTGTCTGCGAGTTACGCCTCGATTCCCAACAAAACACAAGTCAGCGCTCGGCCTCGTCATCCCATTTCCCGGGACTGTGCAGTCTCACTTTCCGGCCATTAAAAATTCACTGAAAAATTCACGGTCCACGGCCCAGAGCAGCAGCTGCCTTCCGTCTGCAGAGCCACGCCAATCACGGCGCGGGCGGCGGGGGCGGGGGCCACAGGGCCTCCTTTCTCTTCCCTTTGACCCACTTCCCTGATAAGTGACAAGACAGCCAGACTGGGAACAAATGCGCCCCTTATTCCTCAGCCCCGAGCCCCGGCTTAATCCGCCCAGACAGACGGATGGATGTGAGGGGCTTTGAGACGTCGGCCAGTTGTCAGTCTGCCCCTCAGACCCAACAGTGACGCCTCTGTTCCCCCCGCCTCGGCCGGCCACATCCCCGCCGTCTTTTTGTTTCCTGTCCCTGCGAACATCTGTTAAAACGACTTCTTGGCGAGGTGGGGCAGGCGGACCCGTAAATCACGGCGTCGCAGCCGCCCGCCTGCCCGACAGCCCACGGTCTGGGTGGGGGACGGAGAACCCGCCCCGGCACAGCCCGGCCACCCTGGGCGGTGAGGCCCCAGGGCCTGGACACTCCCGTGAGCCACCTACCCAGGTCGTTCAGGCCCAGAGCAGGGGACGGGGAAAGGGGGGGTGCACTGCCCAGAAGCCCCCAGCAATGAGGAATGTGTGGGGACAAAAGTCAAAACAACAGGGGCACGTCCCACAAAGAGCCGGCCGCTCAGAGGCTGGAGCGAGGCAATCAGCAGGCCTCCTCGGACGGACGGGGTGGTAACTCCCAAATAAGGCCCCGCTACTGCTGTTTTTAGCCCATTCCACATAATTGGAAAAACATGGGGGAAACCAAAGCCAGCTGGGCGCCTCAGCGGAGCGGCTTCGGAGGGGAGGAGGGGGCGGGAGGCCCAGCGGGAGGCGGCGGGCGCTGAGTTCGGGGCCAGCCCCAAAGGGCTCCTCGCATGCTGGTTTCCAGGGACAAGAGTCACTGGGTCCCTCCGAGTCCCCCCAAGCCCCTGGCAAACCTGGGGCCACTTGGTGTGACTTCCTTCCTAGTCTCAAACCTCAGGACCCTCACCAGGGCCACTCACCAGGAGGGGCTGGGGGACCTGAGACAATGCACCCCTGAGCCCAAAGGAAGGGACCCCGAGTCTCACGCTCGGTCCACATGGACCCCACATCCTGTCCACACAGGCATCCCGGACAGCAGCATCTCCTGTGACCGCCGCCTCCCCACTCCCCGTGCGGAGGGGAGTCCTCTGCGCTCCCATTTCACGGGCGAGGAATGGCTGACGCGACCAGCCCCACTCCACCTCCACCGGCGCGGCAGCCAGAGGGCCCGCCCCCATTCCATCCTCCCCTATGAGAGGGACGCTTGCATACCGCTGGAGGCCATACCCATTTCCTGGGTCCGAGCATCACCACCACCTCAGCCCTTTTCTTGAGGAAGGCACCAACCCTCTATATAAGGCTGGCTTTCATTTACTCAAAGTCAGGAAAAAATAGAATTCTCACAAATTTTCATTTCAACTCCATGAAGCAGACACCCAAAGCGAGAGTCCCAGGCACCTAAGTCACGCCCAAGGTCCCAGGTGCAAATCCTGAGACATTCCTGGAATTCTGGTGCACGTGGGAGCCTCATGAGCCCCTTAACAAAAACTACCTGCACGGGTCCCCACCGGGCCAGGCGCCTGCACAACCCACCTTCTGGGAGGGAGTCATGTCCACTCCTTCCCCAAATGCCCATATGCAGCCTGGCCCCACACACCCCGAGTGGGCGGAGATGGCGACCAAGCCTGCCGCCAGCCACCCCTCCCTCTCCCAGAGCAGACATCACAAGCCGATCCAACACAGGGCTCAGCCAGGCATCACCAACCAACACCAGATGCAGGTCCCTCTTAGTCCAGGGCCAGGGCCAGGCCCAAGCCGGCCCTCTCCCGGCAGCACGAGTCAGAAACAGCAAAAACAGACAGAAGGGAAACACCCAACAGGGAAGCAAGTTCCAAGGGACGCCCGCTTCCAGAAGAGCACGCGGGGCCTGCCACCTGCAGTCCCGAGGCTCAGACACCACACAGAGCAGGGGCCCTTCCGGAAAAACAGTCGGCGTCTGAGCCCGCGGAGCACCAAGTGCCTGGAAATTAAGGGGGAGAATAAAAAGGTGGTGAAATACCTAAAGCCAAGGAAAGGCACGGCGTGTGGGAGAAACCAACCGAACCGGGGCGTGAAAAGGTCCCATCAGGAACCGGCTCTCCACTGACCTTCCCCGGGGGTCATCACAGGACGACCCCACCGGGACGGACGGGGAGACCGCTCCTGCCAGGGCGGCGCAGCCAGCGCCACGCGTCTCACCTGCCTTGCACGTCTTGCCGTTGTCCTGCAGCTGCACGCCGGTGGGGCAGGCGCACGTGTAGAAAGGCTCCCGCGGGGACAGCAGGCAGAGGTGGGAGCAGCCCCCGTTGTCCTCCTCACACTGCGTGTGGACTGGGGGAAACGGGGCAGGGTGAAAGGAAGTTCCAGAACAGGGCCCCCCCAACCTCCCATGCCCTGGGAGCCCCAGTGTGTCCCTCTGCCCAATCGCCATCCTCCTGGGGCATCGGGGGTCACCACGGCACCCCATCCCACCTCCCCGCTGATCCCACCACACCCGGCCATCAGCCCCGCCAACTCCTCCCATTTCTCCCAGCCTCCCTCATGGCCCAGGTGTGGGCATCTTCCCGCCCCCAATCTTCTACAAGAGGCCCTCGTCTCCCTCAGGGCCCCACAAAGGACACCTCCTCCAGGAAGGCCACCTTCAGCCTTCGCTGGCAGGATCTCAGAACCTGCCTATATGGTCATGACGGGGACCTCTGGAATAGGCCCTACACTAGCCCTGCAGGGGGGCCCCAACCAGGCCACTTCCCAGCCCACCCCTGCACTCTGCACATCTCCCTCTGCTCTAGCAAGCATCCCCCTTTTTCCCCACTAGCCTGAGGATAGGCCTCCCCCAGACCACAGGCCCCTGGCCCCGCCCACCCAACTCACTGTAGGGCTGCCGCTCGGGGCTGAGCACTTGGATGTCCATGGGCGAGTAGAGAGCACGGAGGATCTCCTTGCGCTTCTCCCCGGTCCTCTTGTTGCAGGCGTGGATGGAGCGGGTCTGCCAGTCCGTCCAGTACAGCGTGTCCCCCGAGAGCGTCAGGGCAAAGGGGTGCGTCAGGCTGCCCTCCACCACCTTCTGCCTGCGGGTGTGGAGGAAGACGGGGATGCAGGGACCTGTTCAAAACCCGGTCGGACCCTGGGGCTTTAGGTCCACAATCCCTTGTCTGCAAATCCAAAAGTCTGAAAATTGAAAGAGTTTTCTCCTCATTTAACGGCCAAACCTGTGCATGGATGTGGGGCTAAATCATTTCGATTTCACTGAGAATGAGCACTTTACATCTTGCTATAAAAATATTCACGTGGCCGATGGCAGATCCACCCCAGACCCTGCTCACGGCGTGATGTTAGATGAGGTGCGTGCGCTCTATTACGGTTCTAAGTAAGAGTTGTGAAGTCCTCAAGCCCCCAGAATTCAGACAGAAGACTATGGGCCTGAGTTAAGGACGCCTGCCAACCTCTGGCGTGGCCTGGCCAAGGCCCTGGTGGCAATTGGGGTGCAGTGGGGGCCCACAGCTGGGCAGCCACCTACCGGAACGAGCCGTCCAGGTTGGCCCGGTGGATGAAGCTGAGCTTGGCGTCGGCCCAGTACAGCTTCTGCTCCTCCAGGTCAATGGTCAGCCCGTTGGGCCAGTAGATGTCCGAGTCCACAATGACTTTCCGGGTGCTGCCGTCCATCCCCGCCCGCTCAATTCGGGGTGTCTCACCCCAGTCTGTCCAGTACATGTACCTAATGAGGGGGCAGGGGAGGAGGTAACAGATCTTGTTGTTTTTGTTTTCTGCCTCCACAAATGCAAACAGGAAACAGAGAGCGTGAATGTGCCCCAAAGTCCCAGCCAGCAGAGACAACCAAAGCTTAGGGCCTGGGCTATTATTACTTCCGATTGGTTTTCTAAGCATTTAGTAATACATAAAATGATTTTTAACAAAGTTGGATAATCAAAACATACCATTTCCAATCATTCTCATTAGCAATATATTCCGGGCACCCAATCTTTGTACTTATAGAAATTCCCTTTATTCTTTTATGGCAATTAGTACTATAAATTATTTCAATAACTTCGCAGTGGGTGTTTGAATTGTTATCTGATATTCTGCAACTATGACAATGCTGTAAATGAACCTCCTAAAGACAGTCGAAGACGTGTGAGATGGAACGTAACTTAGCACTAAAAGGAAACACCAAGGAAGAACCTTACAAGTACATCAAGTGAAAGAAGCCAATCTGAAATGGCTACACGCTGTGGGATCCGACCACATGACATTCTGGAAGAGGGAGAACGGTGGGGACAGTACAAAGATCGGGGCGCCAGGGGCTGGGGGGGCGGGGAGGGTGACCAGACGCAGCACGGAGGACTTGCGGGGCAGTGACACTGCTCTGTCTGATGCTACGATTAAACCTCTGTCAAACGCACAGTATCCGCAAGGGAGTGCAGGAACTCTCCACCTTCCCCTCAATTTTGCTGTGAACTGAAAACTGCTTTAAAAAGTGAAGTCTATTAAAAAAAACACACACAAAAAAACAGCACCATGTACGTGGAGTGGACAGTGAACTATCACAGCAGGTGCTCCTGGGTGGGATGGGGGGTGGGGGGGACTTGGTTTTGTTCATCCACATTCTCATGTTTCCAGCGAGGGGCACCCACCCCCACAAACCCTCCACCTCCTCACAGGCTTCCTCATCTGATGGCCCAGCAAGTGAACGAAGACATTATGTGTGACCCCAGGACGCCAGGGTGACAGGTTCACATCCACTGGCGCCCAGAGACTGTCCCAGTCTTCCAGGCGGGGGGCCCACCTATCTCGTCCACCCGAGTCTCTATGCAGAGAAGGGGGACGGTGTCGGATTTGCAGAGCCCCTCGCCCACTCGTGGTGCATGAAGCTCCCCAGGTGGCATGGTCTCCCAGTCCCCTCCCCACGGTGGGCACGGATCCTGGCGTCAGCAAATCCGTCACCCTGAATCTCAGTGACTGCTGCAGAGACAGCGGCTCATTCACGCTGGGCCGAGGGGGGTGAGTTGGAACCCCAGCTGGGAAGGCAGGGGCTCCCAGGAGCCACCTGTGCCATCGCCCGCGAGGGCCTGCCCAGACGGAGGCGGCGGCGCCCGCGACATCGCGTGCACCTGAGAACAGAGTCACTCCATGCGCCCATGGGCTCTCTTCTGTGTGAGCTGCTTCTCTCTGTGCCGACCCAGGTGCCCACCGCTCTCGGCCTCCATTTCTTCAGAGGCCAAACCACATCCCATGTCAGCAAAGCCCGAGCTGCCATCCCTCACGCCCAGCGTGGTCATCAGGGAGAGGGAATGATACACATACAGCTGCCATGTGCCCCCCAGGGGAGCCTGTGACCACAGGAGCTGCGGGTACCTGAGCCCCACCCCACCCCATCCCCTGTTCCATGGGGTCATGCCGGCTTCTTGAGATGGGTCATCTCTGAGCCGGTACCATCACCACCTTCCTGTGAGGACTTGAAAATGAGCAGGCGCTTCGTACAAAATGCCCCCCTCCTCCCTGCATGGTGGCCAACGGCACCCAGCAGCGGTCGCCGAGCTCCCTGGCCCTGGGGGTGGTGGGGAGACAGACAGGAGAGAGCACCTCTCCAAAAGGCTGCTGTCTCCTTTGCATCCAATGAGAACTCGACGACACGGGGGAGTGGGAATTCCGTTCCCAGGGGGCAGATGAGAAAACCGGGGTTCTGCACGGCTGGCCCGCCCCAGGTCACGTGCCCGCGGCAGCTCTGGGAGCGCAGGGCGGTGCTCGGGGAAAGGCCAGATCCTGGCCATCACATGACTCAGCCCTCTGCCAGCAGCCTGGGGGTGGGTGCACTTTTCCTGGCAGCCCTAGGCTCGCAGGTGCTGGCGGCCAGCTCTGCAGAGGCTCCCGCCGGCCGGGCGCAGAGGCCGGCCTCTCCCCTGCAGCCTGGAAGGGCCCGGCCCTCCCGCTGCCCGCCGCCCCCCGAGGAGGTGGCAGGAGGATAAATCTCCGAGCAATCCCCTCGGCCTCCCCGAGCGCTCTGCTGCGGGCAACGGGACAGGCCAGAAAACGGGAAGGCTGGGACCTCCGGGAGGAGCATAATTCACATTCCTTCCCCCGAGTTTCATAACAGAGGCCGCTGGTTTCCTTAAATGGGGAATTTGCGAGCCACTCGGTTACCAGAGACGGGCTGGCGTGGACGTGCTCTTGCAACGTCCTGAGCGCGGCCACAGGCCCAGCCAAATTCCACGGAGGAAAATCAACTTCCGAAGGAAAGCAGTGCGGCCTGGGCTCTGTGCAGAGGCTGCGGTTGTGGTTGTGTTATTTTAGGGAAGGGCCGCTCTGCATTTTAAAGAGGGTGTTGGGTTTTAGCCCGGCTTTAACCGGGGACCCGGAGCCACGGCAGCCCCTCATGTGGCACCGGCCGGGCCTCCCCCAGCACTGGGCTGCTGTCCTCCAGGGACTCGGGGCCAGAGGGTCCCCCCACGGCCCACTCTGCCTCCCTGACACTGCACCACGTCCTGCTTCTGGGGTCCGTGGCCCGTAGCAGTGGGCTCTTGGTCACACACACGCCGAGGTGGACATTGGGACTGAGGACCTTCCTGATGGGAGCCAGGGGTGTCCCCCCTTATCTGAGGGAGGACCCCCGTGGGGGATGGTGTCATGGGAGGGCACAAGGAGATAGCAGGAGCTCCAACAGGACTGGGAGGAGGCAAAGCTGCTCCTTGACACCTTGTGCTTGAGGCCAGGACAGAGGACAAAACCCGCTGTCCCCACTCGCAGGCAGCGTCCTGCCCCAGGACTCAGAGACCAGGATCTGGTGAGGGCAGCAGTGCTGCCCACATTCCCAGGGCCTGACCTGGACTCCTCCCTCCTGGGGACATGGTGCCTCGGGGGACAGAGCAGGCATCTCGACCTCCATCACAAGCACAGAGGAGTCCGGGGGCCGTGGTCCAACATTCTCCCCTGCGTTACCTGGCGAGTGGGGGAGACCACAGCTGTCTGTACTCCCTCGCTCTTCAGACCCATTCCTGGAGCAGGGGAGGCGTGGGGGGGAGGAAAAAGGGGGAGGCTGGGGCCTCAGCAGTCCTGCCCAGGACGCCCATGCAGTCAACTTTGCCCCTCGGGGCAGATGTGGGACCTGGGGTAGATCTGGGAGAGAATTCTGAGGCAGGATTTCGGAAAGGATTTCAAATATTTAATGAGAAAAGCCAGAGCCAGAGGCTGGCCGGCTCCCAGAGGTGGAACAGGCACAGCCTGCCTGGCCGGGAGCGGGAAGACCGATCCCAGCCAAGCACCACGTGCCTCACCACCAAGGCCAAGCCCCTCCCAGCAACATGGCAAAAGGCCCGCAGGCAGAAGGAGAAACCTTCACGTGGACACGGAGCCTGGATTCCGGGTCAGGGAGCGTGTTCGGTGTGACGGCAGCTCACCCTGATGGAACCCACTCACCGTTCCTGGTGTTCTCTGCGTGGCGGGTGACCTGGTCACACCCCTGCACAGATGGGGACACGGAGCAGCGCCCCCTCACCCTGCTTCCTGTCTTTCCCTCCAGCCCACAGGCACAGTGCCAGCCAATCCCGCTGGTTCTGCCTTCACAGTTCCATCCCCAGTCAGGGCACGGGCCGGGGTTGCGGGCTCGATCCCCAGTAGGGGGCGTGCAGGAGGCAGCCGATTGAGGATTCTCTCATCACTGATGTTTCTATCTCTCTCTCACTCTCCCTTCTTCTCTGAAATCAAGAAAAGTATATTTAAAAAGGAAAAGCAACTTAGGCTCAAGTAACTTCTAAGGGAAATCATGACCTCACCCCACCCCACCCCACCATGGGGGCGGCCCCTGGGTTTACCCGTGAGCGGGGTCCAAGGCGATGGCCCGAGGCTGGTCAAGGTCCTGCCAGAAGAGGACCTTCCGGGACGTCCCGTTGAGGTTGGCCACCTCGATGCGGTTGGTCTCCGAGTCCGTCCAGTACAGCTTCTTGCCGACCCAGTCGCAGGCCAGGCCGTCGGGCGACACCAGGCCGGAGATGACCACGTTCTGCACGGCGGCCCCCGTCTGGTTCAGGTAGGTCTGCTTGATGGCCTCTTCGCTCACGTCCGTCCAGTACACCGTCCCCTTGGAGAACTGGAAGTCCACCGCGGCCGCGTCCTCCAGGCCGCTGACCACGACGGTGGACTCCAGCTTGACTCCGCCAGCGTCCACCAGCCGCACATCCCGGCGGTTGGCAAACAGCAGCAGCGGCGAGGCTGTGGGAACAGAAGCAACCCGTGAGGACCACTGGCTGGGCCGGGGCACACAGCCTGGGGCAGGGGCCATGGCACGGCCACCTTGGCGCCCACCCAGCCCGAGCCCAAGGCCCTCCGTCCTTCTTGCCGCTCCCTAAGGCGCTGCTAGGAAGGGGTCGGACAGGCCCACGCCTCGCCACTTGGGCCCTCTCGATGCAGGTGAGCGCATGGTGCTGTCACAGGCCCCGGGACGTCCCCCTACCAGGCTGACTCGGCTCCTGCCCGGGCACCCCCTGCTGAAGCAGGCGGGGAGAGGGTCGTGGACTCCTCCTCCCACTCTAAACCAGCATCTCTGGTCTCGGGAGGGAGCAGGCTCCCGACGCCAGAGGTTTCCCAGGTGTGAGCATCACCAGGTGGATGGCCCACAGACGGGAGTCGCCAGCCAGCGGCTTTCCAGCCAGGAAAGGAAGTGGCGGAGGGCAGTGCCCAGGGGGCAAGTCGCCAGCCCCAGCTGGGGACAGGAGAAGAGTCCCTGAGGTGACAGGAGTGGAGCGGTCCGTGCCAGAGGCGGACAGGGCCGGGAGGAGGGGAAGGAACGCTCAGAAGCTGCCCGAAGCCCGACGCCCGCCAAGATCCTGGCTCTGCTCTGTTCTTTCTCCCCGAACTGGAAAGACCACATTTCCCCGCGGTTTACACTCTGGGCCGTTCAGGTGCACCCTTCAAAGGCCCACGAGGACGGGGGTGTTTTTCCATTTTCTGTGCTTTCCCAACGGAGACTCGGGGAGGGGCGGCTCTTTCCTGCATCGAAGACAGTTAGAAACTCACTTCCTAAGTGTGCGCAGGCGCCCTGCACTCCGTCACCTGGGAGCTCACGGCGAGGGGGGCCTCTGCGTGGGTGGCTGCCCGCCTCCCCAGCTGGCACCCGCTGCACCTTCCCTCCAGTCCCCTCCTCGGGGCCTGGGCCACCCCAGCTAACGCGGCCCGGTGCCAACGAGGGGCCGGGTGCCCCAGCTCATCCGGGAGACGGGTCCTCCTCTCCCGCAGGTGAGAAAGGCGAGGGCAGGACGGACAGGGGGAGGCCGGGGCGGGCCGGGTGGGAACAGGGCCAGGCGGGAGGAGGAGGGGCCGCGAGACCAGAAGGGCACGGCGAGTGGCGTGCAGGGGGCTCAGACTCCGCCTGCGCGCACAGGACGGAACCGCGAACCCACCCTCGCGTCCTCTATTCCAGAGGGAGACAGACCAGCAGTGACTGCACGCGGTCAGGAGACATGGGCTCCGGGAACGTCCACTCTGTGTGTGGAAAAGCAGAGCAGGGCGAGGGGCTGGGTGTGCCTGTCACATAAGACGGCCTCGATGGTCGATGGTCGATGGTCTCACCGAGCAAGTACCACCCGGGCAAAGACGTGAAGGGGGCGAGGGAGGCCTGGAGGGAGGCGTCCCTGGCGGAGGGAACAGCCGGTGTGAACGTCCCGCGGGAGCACACAGGAGGCAAGCAGACCCTGTGCCCCACGTCTACCCCACGGACAAGCCCGTGTGCCCTCCTCTCACAGCCCCTCCCCCCCCACCAGGTCAGGGGTCGCAGCTGCATATCTGCCAGATAAGAAGGCTCTTAGAGAGGTGCCTGGCCCTGGCTGGGAGCTCAGTTAGTTGGAGCATCATCCTGTGCACTGAAAGGTTTCGGGTTCGATTCCCTGTCAGGGCACATACTAAGGTTGGGAGTTCAATCCCTGGTTGTAGAGCGTACAGAAAACAACCAATTGATCTCTCTCTCTCTCCCACACACACACACTTCCTCTCTCTCTCAAATCAATAAAAAATAAATAAATAAATAAATAAATAAACACAAAACAAAACGTATCTCCAGGTGAGGATTTAAAACACACACACACACACAAAAAGGTGCCTTGACCTGTCCAAGGTCACTCCGCCCAGGATGACCTCGTGACTGGCGGCCTGAACGTTGGGCAGCGAGAAGAAAGAGGAGGGGCCAGGGGACAGCGTAAGAGCTTGAGCCGCTGGCCCGGCCAGCGCCGCGCTCCAGGACCAACCCGAAGGAAGGGAAAGGTCCCAGGCACAAGATTCGCTGCAGCAGCCTTATTTGTAAGTAGAAAAAAAACAAACAAGCAAGCAACCCATCCCCAGTATCAGGATAACTAGGCTGTTCTCAGTGGAAAGTTGTGTCCACAAAAGCATTAAGAAAATGACGGCAGTAACATCAGAAAATGCTAAGTCAAAACACACACACACTGACTGTGGCTCTCAACCCGGATGTACGCGGTTAAGAGAACATGCGAGGTGGGGACAGTCTGACAAGGAGACGGGGCAAGGGAAAGAGGACCTTGTTGAGTCTCCGGGCAAATATATTCTTAATGTCTGAGCCCCGTATTCCATTTATGTCTCTATGAAGTTACCTGTACACTTTTTTTTCAAGGCCACACATCACGAGGGCCAACAGACGGGGACAGCCCTCCAGGTGTGAGCGGGGAGCCAGGTCAGGGTGCCGGCTCAGAGCAGGGCCAGCTCAGACCTGGGCCTCTCGGACCTCGACGTCCGGTCTGTGAAAGGGGGCAATCACCGCACCTCCACATCAGAAACTATAGGGCTGAGTCAGGACAAGCCATACAAAGGCTCCGCCTGGTTACAGCACAGTCTGGTTACGGCACATTTTAAGCGCTGGATAAACACCAGCCAGGATGCCCGAGGCAGTTGTAATTCATACAATGTTTCATCTTTTCAGTCCCCGGCCAGCTCGATTCAGACTCAGGTTCGAATCCCAGCCTGGCCCCCAGCTGTGAGGTTTGGAGCAAGACTTTTCATCTCCACCGCCAGCCTCAGTTTCCCCACTTACAAAGCAGGAGGTCGCTACTCTCAACAGGCGGTGCTGGCTGCTGTGGCGAGCCCTCCCACAGCTCCTCCAGGGTGACCCAGCAAGTCCGCGCCTCGGTCTAGCCCCGAAAGGCCCCTGAAGATAGGGACTCGGAAAAATAGACACCCACGCCCACAGCAGCATTAGTCACCATCGCCTGGAGGTGGGAACAGCCGAATGTCCGTGACGGAGAAACGGAGACGCAAACTGTGCTTTATGGGACATTCCTCAGGAATGCGGTACGGACACACTCAGCATAGATGAAGCTTGAAAACATGACGCTCCGTGAAGAAGCGAGACGCGAATTATAATGATTCCGTGTCAAACTGGCCAATCCATAAAGACAGATGGTAAACTCCTGGTTGCCAGGGGCAGGGGGAGGGGGGATGAGGGGTAACGGGCGTTTTTTGGGGGGTGATGGGAATGTCCTGGGATGAGGCAGAGGCGGTCGCTACACAACACGGTGCCTGTGCTAAGTGCCGCTGGAGCGTTCACTTTAAAATGCTGGTGTTGCCGAAACCGGTTTGGCTCAGTGGATGGAGCGTCGGCCTGCGGACTGAAAGGTCCCAGGTTCGATTCCGGTCAAGGGCATGTACTTTGGTTGTGGGCACATCCCTAGTAGGAGATGTGCAGGAGGCAGCTGATCGATGTTTCTAACTCTCTCTCTCCCTTCCTCTCTGTAAAAATCAATGAAATATATAAATACACATATATTTTTTATAGTTCTTTATTCATTTCAGAGAGGAAGGGAGAGGAGAGAGAGAGATAGAAACATCAATGATGAGAGAATCATTGATCGGCTGCCTCCTGCACAACCCCCACTGGGGATCAAGCCTGCAACCCAGGCATGTGCCCTTGGCCAGTATCGAACCTGGGACCCTTCAGTCCGCAGGCTGACGCTCTATCCACTGAGCCAAGCTGGCTAGGGCAATAAAATATATTTTTTAAAAATGCTGGTTTTATGTTATGTGAATCTCACCTCAATAAATAATTTTTTAAAGGCATCGCTGCGCCTTGAGCCCACTGATTTCCCCATGACCATCTTTCTTTGCCCTGGCTTCCCAGTCTGTTTCATGAGGCACAGATTCATTTCCGTGACCCCGGATGTACACAACCCCTGCTCGGCACGACCCTCAGGACACCCCCTCAAGTCCTGTGGGTTCTCTGTGCCTCCCTGGTAGGGCAGTGGGAGCAGAGGTGGGGTGTGTCTGACTTCCCAAGACCCTCGGCCAGTCGGTGCCAGAAAAAAGGCTTGTCCCCGCTCCAGGCCCAGCCCAGTGGAATCGGGAGTCTGAAAGTGAGTCCCGGTGCCAACAGCCCCATTTTAACCCGTGTAAGCATATCCAGCTTTTATATATAGAATTCGTAACAGATGTGTGGGCTTCCATTCCGATAGCCTGTGTTTTACACCGTTCACATGGTTACACTAAACACAGCCCGACTCAAGGTAATCCAATCCCCTGCTACTGCACCAAAATCAGCCACATTTTAAGAACATGCCTTATTGATATTCACCAAGCGTTACATTGCTCACTGGAGCAGGCTGGGGCCTGGACGCAAACTATGGGTTCATCCGTCAGGAACGGTCCTTTGTCCCGTGCCAGCCCCATGGGGAAGTGCGGGGCCACATTCAAGGAGCCTACGAGGGCTTTGTAATCTGCCCAACGCCAGGACATTTTACACGCGTGTGCACACAGGCGCGCGCGCACACACACACACACACACACATGCAGTTAACCACCTAAGCAAGAAGAGCAGGCAGCTGAGTGACAAGGACAGGCGGTGCCTGGAGCCGGGGGAGAAAACGCTGTCAGAGGGCCCTGGCAGTTTTCTGGGAGGAGGAAGAGCTAGCTATGGGTGGCCCTGGCAGGCTTCCTGGAGGAGGGGAGACTGGAGCCTTCAAAGATGAACAAGACTTAGCAAATGCTGAGCATGCCCTGGCCTGACACTAAGATGCATCTACGCACTCAAGTTAATTAATTCCACTCACAACGGCTCATAAACAATTTCCTTGACGCCTAACAGCTCTGAGTGCCTTCTAGCTTGAATTTCTCAAACTGGTTATTCCCACCCGCTACCCACCCTCCGCACCACCTTGTACCCCCATCCTCAGGGGCAGGAGTTCCTGCTTGCCACCTCTGCCCGGGGCCACACC